TTCTGATCTTGTACGGAGTGAGTTGGTCATCTGTGCTTCCAATTGGCACCCCGTCCTTCCCACCCCCTTAGTATGTGATATGCTGGAGGGAGCTCTATGTGGCGATTGATGGAGTGTTTGTCTGACAGCCAGGCTTCTTTGAGGAGGTGGCCTCCCTTGGTGTTATCTTGGGATATGGCCGTAGTCAGCCATGTGGGTCCACACCTGTGAATATTGCTCTTTTCTCTTAACTGCCAGCTCATGCTCGTGGACCCTAGTCTTAAGTCTCTTGGAGGTTTCACCAACATAATTGCAGCCCCCCTGAAGGAGAGTCGCCCCTGAGTGTGGCCCACCCAGAGCAGCACAGCCAAGGACAAGGCAGCTGGGGCGCGGGCAGGATTGCCATAGTGCTGCTGGGCTGCCTGGGCAATCTGCGGCAGGCCCTGGAGGTGGCAAATGGCCCTGCGGGCAGGCGGGGTGGAGTATGGGGGGCAGACCGGGGGTGGGGCCAGTTTTTGGGCACTCGGTCTCTAAAAGGTTCACCATCACTGATCTATAAGTATCAGCCATATGTACATACATAGGAGGAGGTGGAGGACTCGCAGAACCAGGGGGTGGAGTTAAAAGAGGGATCAGCCAAGAATCCCTACGTAGCCACAAGTGGCTTGAATTCCATTGTCCCTTATCTAACTGTAAGCAAGTGCTGCTCTATTAGTTGAGAAGTTACTTATCTTTTTTAAAGCAATATATCAGTTTATTTGGACCTTCATGCATGGACCTGGTCTTTCACACTTGTCATATATGTACCAAACAGTCATACAGTTTTTAGTTTGTTGTTATTGTGTATTTTACATTTAGTATAAGTGTATAAATCCCTTGAAACTATTTTTGTATAGGAAGTAGCGTAACTCTATTAATATATTATTATTATTAACACTGATATATTAATACATTATCAATGTATATTTTGTACATTATTTTTCAGGTCATTGTTTCTTAACCTATCATCTTTATATGATAAGCAAAGGACATATCCAACATTTTGATAAAATATTTTATTAATAATCGTCATCAGGATAACAAAAATATCAACTTTAATGGTTAGGTGATGCCTTCACTTACAGAATTATTATAAAGTCAGAGCCATAGTTTTAATACACATCTAAGTGGCACAGCAACAAGCAATTTCTATTGGAAATTATCCAGGGAAACAGACTATTATTTACAGCACTAAAAAAAATATGGAGTAACTCTGTGAATAATAATTTTTTCAAGAATTAAGATTCTTTTCTCTGATGGGCCAACATTCATGAATTATTAATCGTCCATCAAGATGGAAATGTTTTTTTTTTAATATGGCAAAATATATATGAACCGAACTTTCCTAACGATAACCTAGTCTAATTCCTAAGCTAACAAAAGTCAAATATTTGTTCTTACTTCAGTACAGTCTTTTAGAAACGCTTTCCCCCCATCTCTGTGCCTGAACACTATGAAGAACAGATGTGTAGTAGCGACTAAGGGGGGGGGAATAAATTAAAAGATTTTTCTTTAAAACAAATCAAACCTGAAACAATTTACACACGGCGGGTTCCATCCACGCGACACATCGATGCATTTCACACAATGAATTTAACCCTGAACAAGATCTTCTGAACACTTTCCCCAAATGAACCCAGCTTTGGATGCTACAATTGTACAATTGGTGACTACATTTTTTTCCGAGCCAGGTAAAAGTGACAAATTGGTTTTTCATAGGAAGATATCCCAAAACTGCTTTTTCACGACTTTCATGAGGCAACTGGATAAGAAAGTCCAGTTGCCTCGTGAAAAAGCATCTTTGGGATAACTATGACCTGGATGACTGAGAATCTCCATAAACGTCCATAGGAAGATGTTCCATCCATGTATGACAAAAAAAATGAGTATATTTGAGGGTTCTCCAAGGCATAACATGTTCTAATGACAGTCCTTGCAGGAGGCCAAAGAATCATCGGTGCTACAGCAAATATGGACATGAATCAATGAAATATCATCCTGTTCTCTTTCTTTTGTTTTTCGGTACTGTCACTTCCAAATAATGAGGTAAGAAACAATAAAGAGGCTCGGTTTTACATCATCTGGTTCTGGATCAGTCACATAGGAGGACAAAACGAGGGATCCTTTAGGACAGGGGTCTTCAAACTTGGCCCTTTTATGACTTGTGAATTCCTCAGCTAGTGAAATAATTCTTCTTCTTCTTCTTCTTCTTCTTCTTCTTCTTCTTCTTCTTCTTCTTCTTCTTCTTCTTCTTCTTCTTCTTCTTCTTCTTCTTCTTCTTCTTCTTCTTCTTCTTCTTCTTCTTCTTCTTCTTCTTCTTCTTCTTCTTCTTCTTCTTCTTCTTCTTCTTCTTCTTCTTCTTCTTCTTCTTCTTCTCCTTCTCCTTCTCCTTCTCCTTCTCCTTCTCCTTCTCCTTCTTCTCCTTCTCCTTCTTTTTCTCCTCCTCCTCCTCCTCCTCCTCCTCCTTTTCCATAACTGAAGAACACATGACAGACTTAGTGATGAAGTTTGCAATTAACAGGAAGAAATTGGAAATAATGTATTCTTTGAATTCCAACATTAGAGGCTTTTGAAGGCTTCTAGGCCTTGGTTGCATGAATTGAGAAAGTTCACAATAATCTATGCATCTCAGATTAATCTGTGACCAAATATATGTCTCTGTGTGTGTGTGTGTGTGTGTGTGTGTGTGTGTGTGTGTATGTGTGTGTGTGTGTGTGTGTGTGTGTACACAATCCCTGTGATCTCAAGGACATGTATTACATTTCTCCATAGGACAGTATATTAAAAGATGAATGAATTCCAGAAGATGGTTGGAGGTGCCAGAAATTTTATAAGTAGTCAAGTCTATAAAGTCATTCTAATGAGTCTCAACTCACAGCAAATGTCCCAAGAAGCCTTACATATAATGTAATAATACCCCTATACATATTTTATATATAAATTCATATTGTCTTCTGCCCAGCAGAAGCTTATAATATTTCAGAATAATTTTTATTACACTGAACAGAAAGGCCTGCGTACATAATACAAAATGCCTTCACATATTACAGAGAATACATAAACCTTGAAGAGGAAAAAAAAAGCAAAACAAATTACATTTATAGTGTCATGAATATTCTTTTCATGTACATCATACAAATATATACAATTGAAGAGGGATAGGGAGGCAGAGAGAGAAAACATTTGCAAAATATCTTACAGTTTGGAAAAGTAACAGTAATTTACCCAAGCTTTAAAAAAAAACCTGACTAAAGTAAAATTTAGATCTACCTTGTATTGGATTATATTCTAGTTCAGAACTGGAAAAACGTAAGTTCACACTAAGTATTGGAAACATGACTTTCATTAATTCCTACTACCCCATTTTGAATTTAAGGTATTTTAGTTCTCATAAAGTTCTGAAGATGCCGCCAGATAATTAATTACAAGTCCTTTGAACAAAAGGCCAGCAGAAATACACAAAGGCCTTCTAGACCTCATTAGCTAATATTTGTCTCCCTGTGCTGATATTAAAAAGCTAATATAATAGAGCGTCCATATACCAGAAACTTAGTGTAATCGTTACAACTGAACTGAAAATTATGGAGTGCTTCACACCTTACATATAGAAATGCACACTTAGAACGTATTTAAAATGTGGATGCAAGAACGACAGATTGGAAAATCCATGTATTATACAGATAGATGCGCAAGAGAACTAAGATTAGCGATGATTCTCAATATGCACCTGGGAGAACACGAGTTTTTTTCTATACAATAAACATTTGTGTGCTTCTAAAAATCTGAAAACAGTCTTTCAGGATGCGGTTGCAAACTGAAGTAAATACGCTGAAGAAAACACAACACAGCTCTTTCAAAAAATGGATGGTTGGTGTGTTTTTTTAAATCACTCTTTTTAAAAATACAGTGGCAGAACATTTAGAAGGCAAAGTTGTTTAGAAAGTTTACGTTCTAGAGGAGAAGCAATAGCTGAACAAAGAGAAATGGGGTGGGGTGAAATTTGTAGGTCCAAAACAGGGGTCTTCCAACTTGGCCCTTTTATGACTTGTGGACTTCAACTCCCAGAATTCCTCAGCCAGGCACGCTGGCTGAGGAATTCTGGGAGTTGAAGTCCACAAGTCATAAAAGGGCCAAGTTTGAAGACTTCTGGTCCAAAACAATAAGAGCCAAATTTTGCTTAAAGGAAATAATATGCTTAGTTTCCAAAGAAGTCCTTTAGATAAGCCTAACTAGATGTTTGCTGTTTTCCACCCCACTTCCTAATGGTGGTTCTTCATCTCTATATGTCATTGCATTAATGAAGAAGGAGATGGCTGCCAGAGTAAAAACGACCTTGGACATAGAAAGCTAGTAGAACTTCTACCCATGTTGGTATCCATTTATGGACACCTCTAGAAAAATTACATTCTCTTTGTAGGGATGACTTTCACTGTCATGATGGAATAGACTTCGTGAATTCATTGCTCCACTGGGTTGCACATCCAGAAAGCCACTGATAAAGGAATCAAAACACATTTAAACAATAAAGAGATGACACTGTCCCTGAACTTGTACATATATTTTATGGCGTCTTAAAGATAAATTCAGAGTGGGTTGTAGGTAATGAACAACATTGAAAATTTAAAAGAGTGTTTATGTCTCATTAACAGCCCAGAAGAATAAGAAAAAACTGGGCTAAGTATAGAGAATGTGCATTTATCCAACCACCGTATTAGCAGATTTGCTTTCCTATTCAAGTATATTCAGGAAATAAGTCACCACATTTTGCTTACCCCACACGATGCAGCCAGTGGCAGAATGGGACAGGAGGAGCCACAGATACCTGTTAAACTTGACTATTATCAAGTAAATATTTGATGGATGACATTTTTTTTTTTTTTAAAAAAAAGAAAAGTCCAGGTTTTTTCTATTACAATGCAGTTTCCCACCTTCCTCCAATGTCCCTAAAATTGGCATTTTTCTTCCTTGACAGCGGTCTTCGACTATGACCTGTACGTCATTAAGATCTTGTGTATCCATTTGGAGTAATAGGCCACCTTGACGAAAATCCCAGGCCGTTTGGGAACTGCACATCCTCGTCCAGGGATGATCACCCCCACCACAATCTTAATTCTATTCTGCTCACAGACCAGTGGGCCACCGTAATCCCGCTGGAAAGAGAAAAACAGAAAAATCACATCGATGCGTTTATGGAAGAGAAAGTAAGACAAGAAACATCCCTTGTAAAATAAGGAAGGATTTGCCAGTTAACTTTGGTAGACCTCTCATAGATTCTAAGACTGTTCTATTATCATAGATTCATAGGACTTGGGGTGATATGATAGCAGTGTTCCAATATTTCCAGGGCTGCCACACAGAAGAGGGAGTCAAGCTATTCTCCAAAGCACCTGAAGGCAGGACAAGAAGCAATGGATGGAAGCTAATTAAGGAGAGAAGCAACCTAGAACTAAGGAGAAATTTCCTGATAGTGAGGACAATCAACCAGTGGAACAGCTTGCCTTCAGAAGCTGTGGATGCTCCAACATTGGAGGTTTTAAAGAAGAGATTAGACAACCATTTGTCTGAAATAATATAGAGACTCCGGCTTGAGCAGGGGGTTGGACTAGAACAGGGGTCTTCAAACTTGGCCCTTTTATGACTTGTGGACTTCAACTCCTAGAATTCCTCAGCCAGCATGCCTGGCTGAGGAATTCTGGGAGTTGAAGTCCACAAATCATAAAAAGGCCAAGTTTGAAGACCCCTGGACTAGAAGAACTCCAAGGTCCCTTCCAACTCCGTTCTGTTCAGTCAACCAACAAGATCACTTTTAATCTGAACTGGGCTGGGGGCAGTGTTGGCTAAATAAACCACATCCAAATGTATCTTATACAAATGTTGTGTCCTTCCATCTCCTGATGGGAGTCAGAACATGCACAGTTTTCTACATTCATGACCTCCATTGGTGACTTGACATGAAAAATAAATTCTACTTATTTAAACATGAAAGGGGTTATCTTACAGATTTTTAACCCAGTTGTATTTACAGAAAATTCCATATGAATGATTGGGAGGAAATGGATTAGAACCACACTAGAGAAATTTCACTTGGAATACTATGTACAGTTCTGTGTACGATACAAACAAGTTGCTGAGACCCTAGAAAATGTGCAAAAAAGAGCAACAAAGATGATAAGCATCTGGAGGATAAATTGTACCTCACAAGTTCCACTGCCGATGCTCTCAGCTCGAGCACACATTTCTGATTCCTTCGGGACTACGTTTCCTCCAAAATCTTGATTGCAACGTTCATTCCCCATAATGATCATATTTGCTTCCTGAAGTTGCCCGTCAAAATTTCTTGCTGAAATTTTGAAGAGAAATGACTGTTCTTTACTCCATCTCATTGGTTGATTGATTAGGGATTATCAACTCATGATCAACTTTTAAAGACCACATAGAAAGAATTTAGCCATGGCAATCTATCAATGTCCCCAAAAGATATACTTTCTCTTAAGCACACCCTTAGGACAGGATAGGATAGGATAGGATAGGATAGGATAGGATAGGATAGGATAGGATAGGGTAGGGTAGGGTAGGATAGGATAGGATAGGATAGGATAGGATAGGATAGGATAGGATAGGATAGGATAGGATAGGATAGGATAGGATAGGTTGGGATGGGATGGGATGGGATGGGATGGGATGGGATGGGATGGGATGACATGAGAAGAAAGAGAAGAGAAGAGAAGAGAAGAGAAGAGAAGAGAAGAGAAGAGAAGAGAAGAGCTCTATTGACATTTTTTAATTGTGAACACACTGGCCCACATTAAAAATGAAATTCTGTTGCCTGCTTTTAAAAGAAAATATACAGTATATCTACTCATACACATACATAACACACATATACACATGCTATATACACACATACATACATACACACAGAGACATATATATACCTACACCCATACAGACACAGACACAGACACACACAGAGACACAGACACACACACACACACACACACACACACACACACACACACACACACACACACATTAATCAATTGAAGTGATGCTATGAAAGTCTATGCCTAGGTATTTAAATGAACAACCTGCTCAATAGGATGATTATTTGAAGTCATTTAGAGTTACTTACTTCCTGTGTGCCCCCATCCATAAACACTGCAGGTGGTCCCATCTGGAATGGTGCAACCAGAAATGGGCAGGCGGATTATAGCTACAGCATTGTTGCTTACTGCAGGTCTAAAAAAGAAGGGGGGGGGGAGAAATGTCTATTTTAGACATGGGCATTTATAGGAATAAGTAGGCAAATGTAAGTTATCTTTTCAGATCAGATGAAGGTTAGATTCTCATGTCAGCCAGATGTTTAGAATGGATTTGGCTTTTTTATTCACTTATTATATCACCCCTAGTCCTTCTTTTCATCAAACCAGACGTATCCATTTCCTGCAACTGTTCTTCATATGTTTTAGCCTCTAGTTCCCTAATCATCTTTGTTGCTCTTCCCTGCACTCTTTGTGATATTGTGAATGACAATTTGACTTTTTTTGGACACACCTGGTAAACACTCCTCATGATTGAATGTGACTTAAAGGCTTCAGCTCCCTTCAGTAGCATGGTTTCACCCTAACATTAACCCCAGCAAACAGGTGATTGCCTATGAAATATTATCATAACTGCAACCCACCTGGAAAGTTTCAATAATACTATATCAGATCCTTCAGGCCCATAGACCAACTGGGAAATATTCAGAACTTGCTTATGTTTTTCTTCATGAGCTCTTTCCACATTATGGATTCCAAGCCAAGCCTGATAGTCTTTGAGATTATGCCTAAAGAAAGCAAATGTAATCAGCAATTGGATTATGGGTCAATAAAATAATAAACCAGGATGGAAGATAGATTAGATAGACTGGCCTCCACAGGCGGCTTACTCTGCTTATTTGCTTTGTCATGATCTATTTAGATAACCGTTGCTCAATTTAAACAAAGGTAGCTAAAGCAGGGGTCAGTTCATCGGCCCAAACAAAATAAATCACGGAACTCATGAGATCGTTGCCCTATATTTTAGTCTCCCAAAGTAGAGACTGGAACTGTTCCAACGGTTCACACTGTAAAATCTGTGCCATCTGTACAAACCTCCTGGGTTTTTACTCTGAACAGACATTGAAATAACAACACTAGTGCAAATAGTTCAAACCCTACCCTTATGGAATAAAAATATGTTCAATTCCTAAGTCGTTCCTCGCTAAGAAAAAGGAGACTTCTCTAGATATGGATTCATCTAGAAAAGCAGAACATTTCTATCACAAGACCCTCAATTGACACAACCCACACCTGACACCCCATCACAAGACCCCCCACTTGATGTGACCCACACCTGAACTACATAAGACCCATCACTAGACTCTCACCTGATGTGACCTTTCCATCACAAGACCTACTGACCACACAAAGTCCCCTGAAGATGTTATGTACCCTGGTAATAAAATGTTCAGAAACCAACCCACAATCTCGGCATCAACCTTCAAACAAATTTGGCTGCAGCCATCTTCACTTCGTTTTCGGTTGCCACAGTAATGGGAGAAGGGAGATGTATTCTCTTAGTTTAGACATAACAATAAATTGTTCTGTGGGAACCAAGGTCAAGTTACCTCAGTTTTGGCGGGCTGAAGCTACCGTTAGAAAGCCCGCCAAAGTAGCTAATTGGGGATTGTGATTTATGACACACTGCAGGGGTGGGAAGTTTAACTTGTTATTTTGTAACCTTGGGGGGGGACTTTCAGTCTTGGTTTCACCTTTGTTCGTGCCGATACTATGTAGCCATTAAATGTGTTCTTTGAGGAAAGCAAATGCCTCAGAGTTCTTATTTCTACTGGTCTCCTCTATTGGAACCATGACACTCGGAAAATGAACCTCTACCCTCATCCTCCATCCGAGTTGCAGATATTCGCCACCCTCATAAACTAAAATAATGGTTCTCTGTTCAAAGGCTCTGAATTTTCCAGGGTTGCATTGCATAAAAGTTGGGAATAGTTTAACATTTCTCCCTCTTTTCCTTTTTTGCAATGTCAGAAATTCAGCATTTCTACCCAAGGGCAAAACTGTAAAAGGTGGGATCCTATTGCAAAGCTCTTGTAAAAAATTGAAATAGATACCGAGAGAGAAAACACTGTTTGGCTGTCAGGACCCAATCTTCTTTCACCAGTGAACCTCCACAAAAATGTCTGCCTCTGCTGGAAAAAAAACCAATGAATGAACAGTTATTTGGGGGGACAATCTGCTAATATAAAATTCACATTTATATCATATCATTTGTACTGAATCTACAGAGAGTCCTCAACTTACCACCACAATTGAGGCCAAAATCTATGTTGCTAAAGTGAGACAGTTGTTAATTTTGAATTTTGCCCTATTTTATGACCTTTCTCGTCACAGTTGTTACATGACTAACTGCAGTTGCTAAATTAGTAACATGGCGATTAAGTAAATCTGGCTTCCCCATTGACTTTGCATGTCAGAAAGTCACAAAAGGGAATCACATGACCCCAGGGACACTGTGACCATCATAAATATGAACCAGTTGCCAAGCGTCTGAATTTTTTGATCACGTGACCATGGGGATGCTGCAACAGTGTGAAAAACAGCCATATGTCACTTTTTTTAGTGCCGTTGTAACTTCAAACGGTCACTAAATGAACTGTTGTAAGTCAAGGACTACCTGTATTACATTTTACTTTAGCCATTGATGGAACCAGGTTTTGCTTGGAGATGTCTAGAAAAATAACAATGAAGCATTGCTTATTTGACATTAACCAAGAGGACAATTTTAATGTCCAAAATTTAAGATGGGGTTGCTAATTCGGATGCACAGACAGAACTAGATAATACCTAAGACATTAGTTGAGAAAGGATTGGAATGGGTCATCCCAAAGGTGCTTTTTCAGGAGGCAACTGGACTTCCTCATTTTTCCTTGAAAGATGTTTTGCTTCTCATCCAAGAAGCTTCTTCAGCTCTGACTGAAGGGGTCCATTCCCCACCATCCAGTCAGAGCTGAAGAAGCTTCTTGGATGAGAAGAGAAACGTCTTCAAAGAAAAACAAAGGAAGTCCACTTGCCTCTTGAAAAAGCACCTTTAGGACAACCATGACCTGGACGACTGACAATCTCCATAGATGATTGGGATGGTCCACCTGAGATAGTTGGATAGTTGCTCCTCAAGAGTGAACCATTGGCTTCTTGAAGGAAGGATGTGAAGGACTTTAGCTGTGCCACAATGAGTAGCTGGCCTTTCTAGATCTCAAAAATCACCTGACGCACAATTTTCACTTCAGTGGGAATCCACCCAGGAAAGAGAGCTGTGTCTCGGTTCTTACCTGTCTTTCAAGCTGACCATCCATCCCTTATCCGGTTGTGTAGGGATCCCGTTAACAACTCTTAGATGCTTAGTCGATGCACACGGAATGATGGGAACTGAAATATTGACCATCGATCGAGTTACATACCGTAGAATCCCCAAATGAAAATTCACCCCACTGAGCACTTTATAGAACTACGTTCAAAAACTCCTAAAAAAATAATAATAAATAACCAAAGAATTTCCCCCATATACTCTGTAAGCCTCCAATGAATCCTGTATTAAATTGTCTGAAATCAACAGTGTCCAGCACCACGTAGTTCTTATTGGGATAAGAAAAAAGATAACCAACCATAACATAACAGTTAGGCTTAAAATATTTTTCAGGAAGTATGAGTGAAAAAAGAGTTGTTGCTGCATCATAAGGAAAATAATGAGATAATCTTGTCTAGAGTCTTCTCAGTTACAGTGGGTTCCATAATTCTAGTTTATTGGACTAACATAAAGGCCACTTAGGGTTAGATCCATAACCAAGCCCAGTCATAAAAACAATAACATATCATCATCATCATCATCATGGAATTGTTTGAGTCATGATGTCAGCCACAAGTAAATAATTTGTCATCTATGAGATATCCCAAAGGTGCTTTTTAAAAAGGAAACCAGACTTTGTTGTTTTTTTCTTTGAAGACGTTTCTTCTCATCCAAGAAGCTTCTTCAGTTCTGACTGAATGGTGGAGGATGGAAGGATTTATATGACAGGAGTCATCTGGTCATTAGTACTCTTTCTGAGAGCTCTTGAGGCCACTTGGAGGCTTATCTGTGCCCTCAAGATCACCTGAATAGGGCAAATGGGTGTGGACCTTCTTGTGTTGTAATTAATCTGAGGACACAGGTAAACTTCCAAATGCCCTCAACAACTCTCAGAAAGAGTGCTAATAACCAGATGACTGTAAGGAATATAAATCCTTCCATCCTCCACCATTCGGTTGGAACTGAAGAAGCTTCTTAGATAAGAAGTGAAACATCTTCAAGGAAAATGTTTATGGAGATTCTCAGTCACATGATAGCAGTGTTCCAATATCTCAGGGGATGCCCCAAAGAAGAGGGGGTCAACCTATTCTCCAAAACCTCTGAAGGCAGGACAAGAAGCAACGGATGGAAACTAATCCAGGAGAGAAGCAACCTAGAACTAAAGGAGAAACTTCCTGACAGTTAGAACAATTAACCAGTGGAACAACCTGCCTCCAGAAGCGGTGAATGCTCCAACACTGGCAGTTTTTAAGAAGAGACTGGACAGCCATTTGTCTGAAATGGTATAGGGTTTCCTGCCTGAGCAGGGGGTTAGACTAGATGACCGCCAAGGTCCCTTCCAACTTTATTATTATTATTATTATTGTTGTTGTCGTCGTCGTCCCAAAGATGCTTTTTCAAATGGCAACTAGATTTTCTTGGTTTTCCTTGAAGAGGTTTTGCTTTTCATCCAAGAACGACCCAATGACCGCAAGGAATATAAATCCTTCCATCCTCCGCCATTCAGTTGGAACTGAAGAAGCTTCTTGGATGAGAAGCAAAAATTCTTCAAGGAAAAACAAAATCCAGTGGCCTTTTGAAAAAGCACCTTTGGGTCAACCATGACCTGGATGACTGAGAATTTCCATAGACATCCATCTATGAGATAATGTCATTATTTAAATCATTATTCACCACCACTCCAGGAGAGCCCCATCATGGAAGCTTTGGATTACTTACTGTCTAAATTGCTCATCATAGAAACTGGATCACTGTCACCTAAACAGACAACACAATGCAAATCACATTGGGATAACTTTTACTAAAGATATTTCATTTAACAGCAAGAAACCATTCACGTCATGTAAATGACAGCTCTCTACTGCCTTGTCTCTGACATACATTCAAGGATCCCTTCTTCCATCAATATTTGGACACACGTTTACTGAGAATAATGATCTGATTTGTGCTGTCAAATATCCCATTCAGATGATGTACTAGCTTCAAGTGCAAGAGCCAAACTAGCGTAGAACATTTTTACAATCTTGTTCAAAATGGCTCTCTCTGTGTGTTTCGAATTGCAGCTAGGGAATGGGCCTCTCTGGCTGATATTTTTCCTCAAACATCCCAGGATGTTGGGAAAAAAACCACAATTATGGTAGAAATATCTGCATGGCAGGAGAAAAAATCCCCCCCCTTTCCATGTTTTAGTATGATTCTTCATCAGTACTCAAACCCTTTCCAATGACACTGTTATGACTATTGCAGAAGTCCTTCGTAAGTTTTAAATTACAAGACACTTAAATTCCCAGGGAATTTTACAGCCATCTGTCCACATTGCCGTTTCTTCGTCCCTTTTCTCTTTCAAATGTTAGCTGAACGTTTCGCAAGAATTTCGGATTTTACAGGAGCGTCAATATTTTAAACGTTCTCGCCATGTAAACACTTTTTTTTTACACTGATCCGTGTGGGCTCTAATAACTATTTCCACACTTTCTAAGAAGCACACCATATTTCTGGAGGGATATTCCAGAACACAACACACAGGAAAATGAGGAAAAAATACACTTTAATTGATGCAATTTTCTCACCATGATATGTTTATATAGAAACATATTTTGCCCAAATTAAGTCTGCCTGTCTGTCTGCCATCTTCATTCAATCTTCATTACAGTCATGGACCAGCACAACTCTACATTATCTGTCTGTCTGTCTGTCTGTCTATACCAGACATATCAAGACCCTCACAAGATCACAAGACCCTCAGCTGTTGTGACCCTCACCTGATGTGACCTACTGATCACACAAAGCTCTTATGAGCAGAAGAGCACCAACGACTTCCCCTAAACTCCACTGAAGATGTTACTTAGCCTAGTAACAAAACATTCAGAAACCAACCCACAAGCTCAGTGAATGAACCTCCACTCTTGACTTGAACAGTGACCAAGCATGTGCACAGACCTAGCTCAGATCTGTATCTCATCTATATATATATATATATATATGTATACTGTATCTGCAACTACTAGAAATCTCCTAAATAACCCCAAAAAGTTCTTGTCAGTTTTAATTTCTCTTTTACAGATTAGCAAACTTAATAGGAAGTAGTATATTGTTAATTGGGAATATTATCCAAAGAAAATTACTAGCTGCTAAGCTGTTTCTTCTCCCTGGAGAATTCCAGAATGTGAAGGGTTGGTTTTTTTAAATGGGGGTGGGGAAGCATTTGTACAACTTTTTTTTCCATTGGAAGAACAGTAGTGTTGTTTGTCCAGTGCCACTACAAACAGCAATGATGTCAAAAGAGCCACATCAAATCATGTGGTCACAAAGCAAACACATTCTTACTTATTTTCATCCTTGTCGTAAGACCTAAACCTTGCTTGTTGGCACCGACAAGCACAAGGCATAATTCCTCTCATTCATATCCCTTTTAATTAGGCCATTCCAGATCTTTTGGAATGACCCAAATACATACATCTAGATATACGACAGTAGTCCCAAGGGATCTGAGGATTGCTGGTGTAACACCAAGGTCCGTGAGCATCGTCATCCGGATTGCGACAGTAATTTTTCTTCACCTTCCCTATATCTAGGTCTTTATATATAGGGAGGTGCCTGGAAGGGGAAAAAAACAACAACACATAGCGCTAAGATCACCACTTTTTCAGAAGTATATAAGTTATTGCAGAAGTGTATACCTTATCACCCCTTTATGGATTACTGCCTTATCGTGGCGAAGGGGCTTGCGTAACTCAATGAAGCTATGAGCTATGCCGTGCAGGGCCACCCAAGACGGACAGGTCATAGCAGAGATTTCTGACAAAATGTGATCCACTGGAGAAGGAAATGGCAACCCACTCCATTATCTTTGCCATGAAAACCCCATGGCCAGTACCAAAAGGAAAAAAGATATGACGCTGAAAGATGAGCCCCTCAGGTCGGAAGGTGTCCAATAACTATGGTGCTGGAGAAGATTCCTGCAAGTCCCTTGGACTGCAAGGCATTCAAACCGGTCAGTCCTAGAGGAGATCAACCCCGACTGCTCTTTAGAAGGCCAGATCCTGAAGTGGAAACTCAAGTACTTTGGCCACCTAATGAGAAGGAAGGACTCACTGGAGAAGAGCCTGATGCTGGGAAAGATGGAGGGCAAGAGAAGAAGGGGACGACAGAGAATGAGGTGGCTGGATGGAGTCACTGAAGCAGTAGGTGTGAACTTAAATGGACTCCAGAAGATGGTAGAGGACAGGAAGGCCTGGAGGAACGTTGTCCATGGGGTCGCGATGGGTCAGACACGACTTCGCAATTAACAACAACAACAAATACCTTATCATCCTAACTGTAGGAGAAAGAACTGGGGGGAGGCATCAAAAGAGGAATCAGCCTAGCATCTCTATGTAGCTGCAAAGGAACAAAGTCCAACCACTCGTTGAAGTTTATTGGCCCTTATTTAACCCCATCGTCCAAGACTTTACTAGAGATACGTATCCAATAAATCGATATTTAGTCAAAGTAACCTCGAAGTACGTCCCTGGACCAGAAAACACGGACTATGATTGAGACGTTATGGATATTATCTCCTTACCAATTATTTCTGAATACCTTGGTAGCCTAATGGTGGAAGTAGGGTGGACTAGTCCCTCCCTTCTATACGACGTGACACAATCAAAGAATTTCAACTGATGGGGTCCAGGAAGAGAGCCTTCTCTGCTGTTGCCCCTCCCCTGTGGAATAGTCTTCCCTCAGTGGGGAAGCAGACCCCCACCTCCCCCACTCTCCTGGCCTTCTGGAAAGGTGTTAAAATGTGGTTCCGTGGTCTCTCATGGAGAGCCCAGAGGATCATGCAGCTGTGCGACTGTTAGTCCCCTGAGAGTCCTCCCTTTATCTTTTAATTCATTTTAACATCCCACCTCCTCTTCATTTTTTAAAAAACTTTTATATAGACTGTTTTATATTTTATAACATTTTATTGGATTCCGCCCAGAGTCATTCGTTGAGAAATGTGGAAGATACCGTGTTTCCCCGAAAGTAAGGCCCAGTGTCAGTGGTGGGATTCAACCAGTTCACACCACTTTGGCAGAACCAGTAGCTAATTTTTTGTTGCCCAGGCCCAGAATGGACTTCCAGAAGCGGCATCCACACAAGAGAACCGGTTGTTCACATATTTGAATCCCATTACTGGATGGATGGATGGATGGATGGATGGATGGACGGACGGACGGACGGACGGACGGACGGACAGACAGATAGAGGTAGGTAGGTAAGTACATAGGTGAGTAGATAGGTAGGGAGATAGATAGGTGGGGAGAGAGAGAGAGAGAGAGAGAGAGAGAGAGAGAGAGAGAGAGAGAGAGAGAGAGAGAGAGAGAGAGAGAGAGAGAGAGAGAGAGAGAGAGAGAGAGAGATGGAAGATCGATACAGTGGTGAGATTCAGCCGGTTTGCACCACTTCGGCAGAACTGGTAGCTAATTTTTTGTTGCCCAGGCCCAGAATGGATTTCTGGAAGCGGCATCCATACAGAGAACCGGTTGTTCACCCACCACTGGATGGATGAATGGATGGAGGGATGGAGGGATGGATGGAGGGATGGATGGAGGGATGGAGGGATGGATGGAGGGATAGATAGGGAAATAGATAGGGAGATAGATAGGTGGGGAGAGAGAGAGAGAGGGAGAGAGAGAGAGGGAGAGAGAGAGAGAGAGGGAGAGAGAGAGAGAGAGAGAGAGCGCTAAATAAATGGCTCTTGTGAAGAAATATATGTCAGGCGCAAAGAATTAGTACCGTTCGTAGGGTTGCAGCATAGAAGATTGCTTCAAGCTTATTCACAAGAATCTGGTCAACTAAAGTTCAACACAAAATTGGTGCCAGATAGGGGTCAACGGAATTCAAGAGGGGTTGGACTTGGGGCGCATGTGGAAACACAATGACCCTAAACTGCTTAACTTCACCCTCAGCTTTGCCTGATCTTCTCTTACAATTTATCTGCAATTGGAAGCCATTCGGGGACCTTTGCCAGGGAATGAAAAAAGTCAAATTATAACATATGGAGTTGATGATTGTTAAAAAATAAAAAATAAAAAGATGTTTTCCCCCTTTTGGGGAGAAAGTGGACACTGGATTGCACGTTAAACTAAGAGCTGAATGTGTTTCTTATATCCTTGGAAGAAGAAGTTGGAAGTCATTCTTAGTACATATTTTTGTTTCTTCTTCTTCTTCCCCTTCTTCTTCCCCTTCTTCTTCCCCTTCTTCTTCTTCTTCTTCTTCTTCTTCTTCTTCTTCTTCTTCTTCTTCTTCTTCTTCTTCTTCTTCTTCTTCTTCTTCTTCTTCTTCTTCTTCTTCTTCTTCTTCTTCTTCTTCTTCTTCTTCTTCTTCTTCTTCTTCTTCTTCTTCTTCTTCTTCTCCTCCTCCTCTTCCTCCTCCTCCTCCTCCTCCTTCTTCTTC